AAGCTGCTCAGAAAAGAGCCAGTTTAGATTTTCATTCACTTACTGCCTCAAGTCCTTTCATGTAAAAACATAGGAAAAGAAGGAAACATACAGTCTCTTTGATGGAATGTATAAATAACCATTGGGAAGCAACAGCAGGAAAGAAACATGAAACTCATAAAGCAGCTGCCATTCTTGATCACTCTGCCAATTTTGTTTAAGTTCACAGAAAATATTGACCTGTAAAGTGATAATTCACTCAATTCACATTTCTAATTTTATCTTTCTGTTTGCCTCTTTTCAAATGATGTTCACCAGAGATATAGATGCTGTCAAAGAAATCTTCCAGTATTGCCAGTTTTCTGGCACAATCGTAGAATCATAGAATGGTCTGGGTTGAAAAGGATCACAATGATCATCCAGTTTCAACCCCCTGCTATGTGCAGGGTCACCAACTGCAGACCAGGCTGCCCAGAGCCACATCCAGCCTGGCCTTGAATGCCTCCAGGATGGGGCATCCACAGCCTCCTTGGGCAACCTGTTCCAGTGCTTCACCACCCTCTGCATGAAAAACTTCCTCCTAATATCTAACCTAAACCTCCCCTCTCTCGGTTTAAAACCATTTGCCCTTGTCCTATCACTGTCCACCCTTTCAAACAGCTACTCCCTCCTGTTTATATGGTCCCTTAAGTATTGGAAGGCCACAATAAGGCCTCCCCGGAGCCTTCTCTTCTCCAAGCTAAACAGGTCCAGTTCCCTCAAGCTTTCTCCATAGTAGAGGTGCTCCAGTCCTCTGATCATCTTAGTGGCCCTTCCGTGGACCCACTCCAAGAGCTCCACATCCTTCCTGTACTGTGGGCCCCAGGCCTGCATGCAGTTCTGCAGATGGGGCCTCACAAGAGCTGAGTAGAGGGGGACGATCACCTCCCTCTCCCTGCTGGCCACCCCTTTTTTAGTGCAGCCCAACAACAGAACACAGTTGGCTTCCAGGCTGCAAGCGCGCACTCTGGCTCATGTCCAGCTGCTTGAGCACCAGGATCCCCCAATACCTGGGATTGCCCGATATATGTAAAACTTAAAATATGGGGAAAGTAATGTAAAATGACATTTGTATGTTTTGCATACAATGTAGAAATACAGAGGCATAGAGTCACTTGAGTGTGCTGTAAAATCAGTTTGTGTTTTCCAGACTGAATTCCATAATGACAAACTCATTAAAAGTTTTTACTGCCAAATGCTGTTTGCTTTCACCTTATAAACTGTCTGCATTAAGAAGTTACTCCACTTAGAAATTATTTACATAAAGTATTCTTCATGTCAGTGGTGAAGTGCTTGACAAGGGATAGGGACTGCACACACAGCAAATTAATTCAGAAAGGCACAGATTTAATGCATTGCTCAAAATCATTGGTATAATTGAAGTATATGTTCTAATGTGGCAGACATTCTGGATGACATCTGCCTTAGCAGGCCTTGATGGTAAAGGGGATTTACTTCTGCTAAATTAGTTCAGCTAACTCTATATTGGAAGCCTAAATGGTCATTATTTTCAAAATATTTATAAAAAACAGGGTTTCTGTGTTTTGTGTTTTGATACTTTCTAGCTCCATAAATGCTTATCTTTATGTGCAGGTTATTTCTTCTATGCCAGCTGGACTGCTGTCTCTACATATTTCTGCTTACGCAGATGGCTATTACATTATAGCTCTCCCAGTCCTCTGCAACCATTGCTGTCCTAGAGCATTCCCTCACTGTCATTCATCCTCTTTGGTTTTTCTACTCTACTTCTTTAATGAGCAGTCAATTGTCCTTATCATACTTTATTCCCATGAATGAAAGAGCCCCCAGGATGATCCATGTGTCTTGTTTTCTTCCCATCAAAGATGAAAATGAACTGCCTTGGTTAAAATGCCATTCATTAGTAGGTCAAATTTTATTCTTCCTCAGGCTTATTTTGTTTAGTTTGCTAAACTAAACATCAGTGCAATATATCAACATTATATTTCAGAATATAAGCCTAAAAAGATGGTCACCAGTTCAATTCCATGGTCTTGCTAAAAAGATTGAAGTGAAATAACAGCAGTCAGCAGCCATACCTAAATTGGAGCTTTTCTTTGAGTACAAACTAATACCTCAGGATAAAAATCACAGTGATTTACAGATATAAAGATGGTGAAATGTGAAAATTAGTTTTTTTCTGCTCAGTTCTTCTGTAAGAATAAAAGTAAATAAACAGAAAAATCCACTTACACTACTGCACTATCTAATGCAGATACATTAAACCAGTATAATAAAATGTGTTGCTTAATATTAAAGAATTTCATATTTTCAACGTACTACTTCCTCCAACATGCTATTGCTGTTAATTGGCAATACTATATAAGGAGCTATCTTTGGGGTGTTTTTTAATATATTATAGTCAGAATACAGAGGAAATGCCTATGAACATATAAAACACAAAAACATTGACAAAACTGATTTCTGGTATTAATTTCATTTCTCACAGAACCATAAACACTCCTGCACATAATCTGTACATTAGAGCAATGAAAAGTGTGTTTTTTTATAGCAAGTGCACTGGTAATAACACCAACATAAATGTGATTATCAACATATGAACTGATTAAACTCCGCCTTGTTAATGGTCATCCATCTATGCCATATGCTGACAGACCATTTATGAATTTTTTTGTTGTTGTCACATTAGCTGCAGGCATATATTATATGCTTGCTGTATAGGGAACAAAATCCAAATATCTGCTTCCTTCCTTTGACCAAGTCAAACCCAATGCCTTGGTCCACTCTGTCTGTGTTTGGATTCTCATCTGCAGATACTTCCATTTGTGTAAAGTATTTAAGAATTTTTATCTTTGTTTGTCTTACTTTACACTCATTTTTATTCTCTGTAATTAGAATGCCTAGGTCCATACTGACTCCCTTTCAGACTGTCTGCAAAGTGGTTAGTGTCTTAAGCTAGGGATCCTCAATGCCTTCTGGTTCGGTTGTGAGGACTGTTCACTCTTATCTGCAGACAGGTTTCAGTAGATATTACCCACAGCAAAATAAGACTTGCTTCAGTAACAGTAGCCTTCTGCTTGTCACAGCGTCATATTGCCAACCAAACACGCCACTGACAGACAAGCACACAAGCAGACAGTGACAAAACTTGTTTGGAAATTGCATCTGTTCTGTACAGTAAGACTGTAGCATATCCCTCCCAGCTCTTTTTCTAAGTATCAAATCAAATAAATGAAGCCAGTGAAACATGAGAGTGAAACTTACTCTGTACAAGAAATACGAAGGCATGTGTGTTTTTTTTTTACAATGAAAGATTGCATTTTTCCTGCTAATAATGTTTTTCCTTGAAATTTCAATGGTAATTTTCCTCTTATTTACAAGCACAATCTACTGAGAGAGAACTGACATCTGTGTGTTAGAATGTACAGTGGCTTAGTGGAAGAGTCTTAATACCTTAATTTCAGGAGTACCCCCAGAAAATTTGTAGCAGTTAGAACAGCTATCCTGCCTCTGGACTACATGTGGAAAAGTGTCAGCCAGCTCAGAATGCAAACAGGAGAAGTTTAAGCCTGTCTGATGTTTCTCACACAGGCAGAGCCACATGGCCTCTTAGTGTCTAACTTCTCTTTTAGCCTTGGAGCACTGAAACTACATCAAGGCAATAGCAGCCATAAACCAGGATGTACTGAATACATGTATTTTAGACATATCCTTGTTTGGTCTCAGCAACTGTCTTATTATATTTGTTATTCAATAAGTAGTTTCTGATACATGTAGAATCTCCTTTTTTACTTTGTTGGATTACAGAATGCATGACATATGCATAAAGAATGCCTGATTATTTTTCTCCTTTTCATAAGGCAGCGCAACTAACACAGGAAACCCTTTCAGAAGACAATCCAAATAAAACATTGTTTATCTCAAATTATTTCTCTTTTTCAGCAGGAAGACAAATAAATTCGATCATATTACAAACTGGTTCTCATCTACCCAAAATATCTGAAATAATGGAATTATGACTCAAAGTCTATTGAAAAAAAAAAGATATACAGCTTGTCTATTAGAGATTTAGAGGACTACACAGAAATGTTATGTATGGTTCATCTAAAGCTTCCAAGGTTCACAGATAAAAATATTAAATAGGTTTGTTGGAATGGGATATAGTTACGCTCTTCCTGTAATTTCACTATTGCTTTTATCTCATAGTCTCAGTACAGATTCCTTACAGGTAGTTATGGTAGACACTGCATGTAAATGTAGTAACAAATGCTCCCTGATGGGAAGATTTTTTTTAATGGAAATAAGTAAAGCAAGGAATAAGAAAAAAGAAAACTTTCATTCTTTACTTTACAAAAATACAGAGAATGAGGAAGAAAACTGGTCTGTAGTAGCCATCTTTTGTTTCCAGAGATCATTCTTATTTTAGAAGGACAATATCTCAGCCCTATATTTTGTCGGCACAAATTTCTGTTTTTGCTAAAGTTGACATGAACTTCAGTGGTTTAAAATCATACGAACAGAGCAGTTAAACATTGATTTTTAGCCAGTACATCCACAGACTTCAAGAACCATACTGATCTTATGGTAAAAGTCGTAGGGATGCTGATTTGCCCCAACTGTTTCTTCAGAACATAAGACCTTACCTTTCCCCTCTATCAAAATGAGAAGCTCTCAGACAGGAGCAGAAAACAAGGTTCTCATCCAAAATACATTGCACAATATGAAGCAGTGAATGGCTTCTGATATAAAACATTCTTTCTGCTTTTTACCACTCACTATGTTGCAGAATGGACATGTTCCTCTTATTATGATCCAAAGCAGAATACTCCTTTCTGTTGTTATTCTCATTTTTCTCACCTTTCAATTAATTTTATGAATAGGATTGCACAGTTGTGCAGTGACCATTGCTAGTTTGCTAGTTCTCTTTCTAATTATAAAAGAAAGGAAAAAAAAATTGTCTGTTTATCTACAGTATGTAAAAGGTTTTTTTGTTACTGTTTCAGGACACAGCAGGTCAGGAGAGATACAGAACAATTACCACGGCTTACTATCGGGGTGCAATGGGTTTCATTTTAATGTATGACATCACAAATGAAGAATCCTTCAATGCTGTGCAGGATTGGTAAGTAAATTCAAATTCATATTTGCTATTGAGATTTATATTAGCTATCAGAGGTAATGTTTGTTATCACTAAACTGTTGTGATAGTGTACATTATCTTGAAAAATTTATTTCCAGATACATTGCCTATGCCCAAAGGCAGGATTTTTGATTTTGTGGAAAGATAGTGAATACTTTAAAATGCTTTCCATAGGAAATTATAGCAACCATTGCATTTTCTGTGATGTCAGTGAATGTGGATTATTCCACAGAAATGAGCAATTTGATGAGTAGTTTCTAACTTACCTGAAAGCATTACTGTAGCTCAGTGAAAGAAATGGGATGCTATGAGTGGGGTTGTCTTTTAATATTTTTATGTTGCTTTTAACCTTAATGGGTTAGATTTCTCATCCATCTAGCTCAAGTGTAAAAAAATACGAAGAAAACTTTCATCAGAGTTATAGAACTTAAAATGGATGGTTATATTACCAGATATTTTGTGAGTATCAAGATGTTTCCATAAAAATGTGTCATTTTAACCAGACAAGGAGAAATAAGGATCCAAAAAAATGTAATGTTTTTACAGAACAGCTGATCCAAAAGGAAAGCTAGAATTGCTCTCAGCTGTGTCATCTTATCTTCCAAGATGTATTTTCATACCTAAGAGCCTTCTAGCATTATTCTGGATGATATATTTAGCATTTGTCTTGTGTGCTCTCTGTGCTCTCTTGCATTCTATCCTCGTGGGAGAATTGTGTTTGAAGCTTTTGTTCAGAGTTTGAACAAAATGTGTGATTTGTTCAGTACATTTCTTTTTAGCATCTTTGGTTAAGATATGCACTACTGTGTACTTTTTTCACACAGACAAGGTCACAAACATGTTTTACACTTGAAGTAAAAGTCAGTGATGTTGTGATGGCTGTTTGTAGTGAGTATTGCTGCCCAGCCACAAGCTGCCTAATAAATTTTTTTCTCTCTGTCAAGCTTTTTAACCTGTTGTGGCAGAAAAAGCCACTAAACCCATGGAGCACATTTCGTCTCCACACATAGAGATTTTCTCGATTCATGTATGCTGAGTCTGGACATTCAGCACTCAGAAGATAAGAACTAGAGGACTTAGCTTGATTCTGTTCTACAAGAAATAGATCTTGTGTTGCTCAAGTAATCTGAACACCAGTGATGTACTCAGTCATCCAAAGAAAAGGACAGCTCCAGAGTGTGTCCCTCTTATTGCTGCTGTTGAGCTCCAAACTGAACTGCTCTTATGAAAGATCCATCTCTATTTTCTAGAGAATGAATCAGCTCTCATGGTTAGTGCAGACCAGATAACGAGCTTTTGGACAAGAGAGCTAATCTGAGTGGAGTCTCTACATGATGCTCAAGTTGGAAGATGGATTTTCACACTGCAACTTGTTAAGACAAGGGGATGTTCTGAGTCTTTTGTATCAGCTGGTAGTATCATGCTGAAGGCTTGCTGCTCACAGTTGCAAGTACTGCTCTGTTCAACAGCTTGGGACAGAATTTCCTACCTATTCAGAAGCAACCGAAAGCTTTATTTGAAGGTGCTGCTCTGAAAGTTCAGCAAAAACAAGATAAAGGATTACACCACCCTCAACCACTGAGCCTAGAATTGTGGCAGCTAGCTTGCTGGGGCAGCTAGCTGACGATTTTCCTTCAGAAAAGAAGGTTCTGCTGCCCTTTGTTCATAGGCTGCTTTCATTCAAGCTCTGGGTTAACTGGGTGACAGTGGCTGTGAGGAGCCAGCTGTAATCTGCAAATCTCATTGCCGCGGTCTCTGGGCAAACCAGATGGCATGCCATGTATTATTGAGTCTCCTCTGATACAAAGATTTTTTTTAGCAACAGTGAAGATGAGTACTTATTATTAATTTTTCACCACCTGTTTGTTTTCCAACCTCCTAGATCTAATATCATTGCCATTTTCTCTCTCCTGGTGAAAAACAGTTCGGCTCCGTAACAGTTAAAGCAAAAAAATCTCTGTTAAAATGAAACAAGAAAAAATATATTTTTAAACGCTATGGATCTTTTAGGTTTGTAAAGTTCAATTTCCCACACTTTTTATCTAGAATATTTACAAACAGTTGGCAACAACTGTAGAAATCTGGGGAAGGGAAGGGGATTGCATGATTACATGCCTAGAGCTGCTGAGCAGTCATCTGCATGATGAATGGGATGACAGACAGGCAGTCCTGCCTCATTTGTCAGGATGAGAATCAGATTTGCTTTTATTTTCATTTTTAATTTCATAAGCCCAGTTGCTGCCTTGCTGCTCTTCCTCTTTGTTTTTTCTCCCCATCTCAGGGTTGATAATTGATTTTCATTAGCCCATGCTCTAAAACTGTAGCTTGCTTCTGAATAGGAAAGAATTTTTAAAAATGTCACAATTAGCAGTGCTCTGGGAGACCAGATGTGTATGTGTGTGTGTCTGTGCATTTGTGAAAGATACAGAGGCAAAAAAATAACAGCAGATTTTAAGCCCCTCTGGAACTTAAAATGCTTTTCCCCGTCATAGAACTGCCTCTGATGGCAGTGGTGGCATTTCATGTATGTGCACAATGGGTCAAATTCAAGCTCAAGGACCATCAGCTTCAAGGCTTCATCTAGAAACTACATTACAATCAGTACAATAAATCTAAAGGTACCTTTTACGTCTGGATAAAGAATGTCAGTTTAAAATGTGTGCAGAGATCATTCTCTAAAAGCATTTCATGCAGAGCTGTTGTAATGTACTGAAAAGCATTTTTTTTTAAGTCTGACTTCTGGCTGACATCTCCCATTTATAACAGTGGATGGATTGTCATATTTCCAAGTATGCCATGCTTAGGTCAGCTTGACTTTGCCCAGCTGTGACATATGCTATACCTAATTTGACCATTAACATTTTACATACAAAAAAGTCAGTGTCTGTATTTTTGTCTAAACCTATTAGCACCAAGATATGCAACACAGCAGCACCACAGGCAAGCATTTGTCTACCATTCTGTAGGACTGAGAAATCGTTCTGTCTTAAAGCCTGGCTAAAGGATTTGAAAGTCTGATAAACTTCAAACATTTGATCCTTCAGGAAACATTCATATTCTACATTCATAGGTAAAATTTAAAAACTTAAAGATTACAAATAATAGTAACAACAAAAACTGTAACATAAATAAATATTTTTTTATATATACGCAAAAACATTTGGCTTGAGAAATCTTGAGTAGGTTTTCTGCATGTGGACCCCGTGATTTATTGCTTATAACCCTTTTCCCTGTCTCTGTCAAGAGCTAATTCAGGTTTAATCCATGTGAAGGACTAAAATGTTTCTATAATTTATTTTAGAGAGTATTGCTAGTCTTCCAGCTAGTTCTCCTGAAAAAGAATCAGTCACCTGCTTTCATCTCTGCAGTGCATTCTTCTCTAAAATGACTATATTTTTAATTTTAAATTTTGAAATATTTAGACAGAACTAAAACGAAATGGGAGTAATAATATAACAGAGGCAAAAATACTTTTCTATTCTAGACTTCAGAAGGAATTTGGATTTGAATTTTGTTACTAAAAAGTTTTTTTTTACTTTCTTTTTTGTGAAATATTTGGAGTGGTTCATGTATCAAGACTAAAGAAATACTTTGTCCTTGCATAAACTTTTGCATCATGGAGAAAAGCAATACTGAACTATAATATTGAAATTCCAAACTAACATTGTAGGTCCAGGTAAAACGGGGATAGAAAATATGCCTTCCTCAGACATGAAGAATCATTATTAGATGTGTTGGCATGACTCAGAGGAAGTTGGATTCTCCCACTTGTGCCCCTGATAGCAGGTTGGGTGCACAACTTGAGCACATAAACCTTTTTGTGAACCTTTTCACAGGAGAGTTCAAATAAACCAGTACTGATGGTAAAGAAACAATACTAGGTCAATCTGTGAATTTGTTGGTAGTAGACACAGCCCTGAACAATATTCTCCTTTGTAGATATAGACTTTCAAGAATTCCCAAGGACAGACAGCTTCTGTTTAATCAGTGAGAGTGAATCTGTGCTGAAAATCTGTCTGCTAGCAGAAACAGCAGAGCAAACATACTTTGACTCAGCAGATCTCCTGTTGAGCTCTGCCCAGATTTTGGATCTGCCTTTAGGAGGAGGCCTTTTTGCAGCTGGCACTGCAATAACAAGGTGTGTACTTGCTTTTGTGCATGTTAGTGATGCCACCCTAAAATGATTCAAAGATTTGGGGAATATATATTTCTTTTTCCAACAAATAGGAACCACTTGGAGGGCATCATTTCTCTGCTTGGTCTAGAGCCTATGTTAGAAACAGGGAAAAACCAAACCATGCTCTTTAGGTAAATCTCTTAGATAGCACCTACATTTCAAGTAATTAGTCTCATTTTCTTTTATGTTCCCTTCTTTTTCCTGTTAAATCTTAATATGAAAAAAGTGAGTGTTAAGAATGAGTCTATGCCACTTCAAGTCATGTGTCTTGTAGTTGGTTATAATGCCACAGTATTTGCTTCAGTTACTCTTTTCTACTGCCAGTTGCAGAATTTACAGCTCTCAGCTTTTATCATCATTACATTTCTGTGGGGGCTTTTATGCTCCCTTTTCTCTTAGTGACTCAGTCAACATAGATTTATGAATCTGGTTCCTTTTGGTGGAAAGGAGAATGTGAAGGCTATGTATGCTTTTTAAAATGCCATCAACTCAGTATGTTGAGTTCCATAGACGTGCAACAAAAATAAATCTTTCTGAGATAAACCACTTTTTAAATACAACCTTGCTATCCTCTTACTGACAGTTTTGAGGTTGAGGTGTTATTTATACCCAGAATATTTCTAATGCAGTGTCTCTGGCTAGGTTAGAAACAGAATATAAAAACCTAGGCCTTTATGTCATAGTTTGAAACCTAGCTGAATGACTTCACACTTTGCAAAGTTCAAAGGCTAGGTAGGGGTGTTTTTGCATAGTACACTCACTTTGGGTCATTACTCTGGCAATGAAAAGGTTGTCCCAACTCAAA